CAATATGTCTCCTCATAATCAAACATCAAACGACCAGAATCAACAAATTTTCAGGTGTCATAGATACATCTTGGATATATCGTTTATACACTAGGCACAGAAATTAAGGAATTTTAAAAAAATCCCAAAATTTTGGGTGATTTTGAAAGAGCTGTAACATTTTTTCAAGGACTTCAAAAAGGGCGTTTTTAAAAAAGCAAAAAGTTAAAAAAAAATTTGTTCGTTGATTTTCTTATGATTTACTCAAAAACTGGGAACGCTAAAAAAATTTAAATTGCAGATTTGCAAACTAGGTTTGAAGTTTTTGAGTAATAAGAAAATCAACAGAAAAAATTGTAAATTTTTGCTTTTTTAACAAGGCCTAAGTCCATAGGCCTTTTTAAAAAAAGCAAAAATTACAATTTTTTTTCTGTTGATTTTCTTATGATTAGGTACTCAAAAACTGCTGACGCTAAAAAATTTAAACTTGAAGCTTCAATTTCCTTGTTTTTATTCTCTCTACGACCATTTCCCTCCAAGTTACAACTTTTTAAAATCACCCAAAATTTTGTGATTTTTTCAATATCCCTTAATTTCTGGGCCTAGTATATATTGAAAAACTGTTGTCATTCTCATTCTTTAATTATTAATTTTAAAACAAATATAAATTCAGATGTCTAAGTAAAAAATAAAACGTTGTATGCACCACGGGAGATACTAGGACGATCATGCCCTTAAGGAAGCGACTTCCTAATCAGCCCTGTATTGGTCCATAAATATAACTATTTTCACACATAAAAATTGTTTGTTTTTGAAAGCAACTTTATTAATCCTTATATTCCATGCGAATATCATCATCAATATTATTATTTTCAGGCTTAACTGGAATACAATTTCAGATAAATCATAATTAATTTTGTAAAAGCTGTTGTCCTGTTTTCAAACAATCCTTGACACGTGTAGCATTAGTTTCAATAACTTTCAGGGATGTTACCAAACTAGAACGTTATTTGTGCTAGCTATCTCTCTAATATTATTTAATTAACATCAATTGAAATGTTCATTTGTTTGATGTTTACGCAGAACTTTGTTACGAATCAGATAAAATAATTAATTTCTATAATTGTGGACTAAACTTGAATGCTTCACTAAACGCCCTATTTTTTTTCAAATTTATGGCCGCATCTAGGATTTTAGGAATGGTTTAAGGACATTGAAGCGATTAGATATAAAGGACATAGCTCAACTTATAAAACCATGATTATGATTGAAACTGTTGGAAGAACGTGAAGGAAATAACAAAAAACTAAATGATTACTCTTTTACAAGCATAATAAGAACCACTTTTCTCTAAGACTACTATTCAATTTAGTAACTCTGAAATTAATTTCAATAGAAAGTTAATATTCCTGGCCTTATTATGGAATGAATATTCTATAACTGTTATAGAATATTCTGTTCGACTTGGATTGCTTTGACATTAAACCGGGTAGTTTTGTGGTCAATGTGAAGGATAAGTGTGTTTATTTGCAATTTATATAGTGTGATTCACAACTTATCTAAAAACAATTGGGAATAGATGCGTCATGAAGAACGGAGTCAATATCGTAAAAAATTTTTTTGTAAAATCCTTATAGTTTCCGAGAAAAAAATTATTGAAGTCGTAGTATTTACAACTCTTACATCGCCGGGCTATTGTAGTCTCTAGCGTCATTCACGTTTTGCTCCGTACGCAATGCGCTATGTTTCACCGATTTTAATATTAACGTTTTTACGATAGTGTTTACATTAGTTTTTCTAGTGTTAAAAATGTCTTACGCGTATAGCAACTCGGAGCTGATGGATAATCTATGACAGTAGGCCTTACATTCCCTGAAATATGAGTTTTAAAGGTTCAACCAGTGGTGTACAACTGGGCTGGGGTCACCCCTTATAACCTACATACCTATAATGAACATAATGTTCTATATTCATGTCTACTTACTGTAAAAAATTCGATTTTTTGTCCGTTCATTTTTTATTTCACTTTGCCGCCATACCAGTCGCTGACTGCATGCTTTGCGTTGGGCACGGTCAGGTTATACAGTAGACCAGTTTCCAGTGCCGTGCAAAAGTGTATTTTTAAATCACTTTCGAATAGCCCTTTTCGATGTTTTTTTACAAACTAATAACAAACAGCTTTGACGTTTTTTTATCAAATTATTAAAAAAAGTCGACAACTTTTTTAATGTCTAATACAGCCCGTACGATATTTGTTGAGATAGAAATTCGAGAAGACCCCTGCGCCACTTTCTCGGTATTAACCGCATTCGACACTCGAGGTAGAAAGATATTAGCGGCGTGGCGTTCACCGTAGCAGCTTACAGTGTGTATACTGTGTTTTGCAGTTACGAAGGCTTGTTCCTTTGGTTCTTTTTCTAGAATTCTATCCCAACAAATATTGTACAGACAGAACTCTGTACTGTGGACATGTGCATTTCTTCCGCGCGTTATAAATATACTCTAATAAATAATAAGACAATTACGACTTTTTTAGTGACCCCTTCCCATCCTGTTATTTAGGTAACTCCTTATAGTTTTATTAGATTGCTTGTATTAAATTATATAAACGTCGGGTGTATTAATTTATTGTGGGCTGTTAGTCAGATACAAAACAACCGAAGCTAATACTCCCTAAGTGTCACCATTAAGCGATGCGCTAGATTTGTGTCAAGTGTGTGCGTCCTTTGTGTGCACTAAGGATAATTGTCATCACGTGTAAGTAAAATAACTTAAAATATCTTTTTCTCTTTGGAGAAAAATACCTGATGTACTAGCTACAGCCTAATATCTACCTAATTTTATAAAAAAAATAGTATCTTTGTATACTGTATAATTTATTTCATACGGGATGCTTTAAGAATAATTGGCCAAATTAAAATTTTTATTTGGGTTAACAAACTAAGACTGGAACTGTTTAGGAAAGAAATGTCCAGAATCTCTTCGATTTCGAGATATACTCTATGTTGAAAACTGAAGGAAATATACGTTTCGCAAAAAAAGTTCATAGATTTTTTGCCAAGAAACACTGTTTTACAAGTAATCAGGGAGGGCCCGAAAAAATAATTTAATAGAAATTGAAACAAAATGCAACTTCTTATGCCATTCATTCTTAGTAAGATCAAGATTACATCAAAACACTACACTCTGTCACACTGTCACTGTGATTGGTGTGATTTTTCACGAATTTCTACTCAACCAATCAGCGATTGCATTATTTCAAGCATAGACATAACGGTTTGTTGCTGTTCATTGTAAACGAAACATTAATATTGGTAACGTCAAAATTTAGGGATTTTTCATTGTTTCAGCTTGTAACCAGTTCGAATATCCTGGGCGTTTATTAATTGAAAATTCATTTTAAGAAGAAAACTTAATATCAACATATGTCCTAAACCTCTTAATTTTTGAGCTACAGGGTGTTACAGTTTTAAGAAAAAATTTACTTTTTTATTATAATTTTCTTATCACTCCAGATATTTTTATGAAATTTTGTACACACCTACTAATCATTAAGGAGCATTGTTTGATGTAAAAAATGTTTTAAAATCTTTGCCAATGAGGTCCGTACGAGGTTCGAACTAAACATTTTTGAATAAAAAAATAGTACGCCACTGCTTTTTCTAAAAATTAAAATTATTTTTAAAATCTCCATTTATTTTACAGCAAATTCGGTCCCTAGACTTACTCTCGTACGACGCACCATTTGCACGTAAAAAAATGAAAACCAAAAAAAGTTTTTTCCCCAAGTTCATTGAAACTGCTTTTGATATTTTGTTGCCATTTTGTAGACACCCACCATGCGTGGAAACACTTTTTGTGGGGCAAAAATTAATTTTCTACTTTCACAAATGACGTTCACGTAGGCATAATATTAAATGTTTGGNATTATGACACTTTACCCAGCCTACTAATTTTTATTTCATTTGCTTTAAGGGGGCATTTAATGAGCTTACCGTTTTTTCTATCCAAACATTTAATATTATGCCTACGTGAACGTCATTTGTGAAAGTAGAAAATTAATTTTTGCCCCACAAAAAGTGTTTCCACGCATGGTGGGTGTCTACAAAATGGCAACAAAATATCAAAAGCAGTCTCAATGAACTTGGGGAAAAAACTTTTTTTGGTTTTCATTTTTTTACGTGCAAATGGTGCGTCGTACGAGAGTAAGTCTAGGGACCGAATTTGCTGTAAAATAAATGGAGATTTTAAAAATAATTTTAGTTTTTAGAAAAAGCAGTGGCGTACCATTTTTTAGAAGAAAACTTTAATAAAAAATTAATTTTTTTCTTAAAACTGTAACACCCTGTAGCTCAAAAATTAAGAGGTTTAGGACATATGTTGATATTAAGTTTTCTTCTTAAAATGACCTAAGGATTCACACCCTTAAGTATCGGCATTCAATTAATAAACACCCTGTATAATATTTGCTCTTACAATTGCAGATGTTATATTAACAACTGTATTTACGATATACGAATTATGAATACTAATAAGGCGGCAATGCTATCATAAAAAATTGGTTACAACTTTTAGTGAACCTCTTCTTTATTCTTCTAATATCGTTTCAAAAGTCTGTATGTATATGTATTTATTTTATCTTACAAGGAAAAATACATGGAAATGCCCAAAGGACACAACACAACAATACATTAAACGACTTCTTGAGGGCTTCGTTTGCTTTGCTCGTTCCTTTCTTTTTTATCAAAGTTGTGTATATAAATTCCGCTTTATGTAACTTCAGATGGACATAACAAATGGCTCAAATATAATAAAATCTTTCCCGCAACATTTTTACGGAAAATGTATGTCTTGAGTGTCTTGTGGTCGCAAATAATTATCATGAAACATCATAAAAGAAGTTTAATTATATTTTGATTTCAGTAATTACATTTTTATTAACTAACTTACCATTTGATAAAATAAATTCATACATGGATAACAATTTGATTTAAAACTATTTTAAAAAAAATGAAAAAGTAATGTATTGTTTTAAAGGACAGGTAGAAGAGCAAAACAGTGATATTATGTCTGAACAAACGCATCAGAATAATAAAATTAACTCCACCAAGGAAAAACCTGTAGCAGAGAGAGAAAAATGGGATAATAAGACAGAATTTCTTTTGTCTTGCTTGGGTTATGCTATAGGGATTGGTAACGTGTGGAGGTTCCCTTATTTATGTTACAGAAATGGAGGGGGTAAGTAACATTAACTTCATTATTATATCCCAAAAAAAGATATTTTAAAAAGTAAAATAATTAATGGTTGCTTAAAACAAGGAAGAATTGATACATTTTAATAAAAATGTGTACATTTATTTTCTCTTATTTGCAGTTTGAATTAGAATTTTTGTTATCTTTCCTATAATTTTTTTGGGTCACCCCATATATTGCATCGAACCAATTTCTTGTTATCAATTTCTTGACAAGGTATAATTCAATTCCCTTATTTGTACCTAACATGCTACCTTATTTATCCCCAAAATATTGGAACTAAATCAGCAAGTGAATGCCCTCCCTTGCCATATTTTTATGTTTCTAGTTTGAAAGAATTATATTTTTAGGGGCTTTTCTAATACCATATTTATTCATGTTATTCTTTTGTGGAATACCACTATTTTTCATGGAGACGTCGCTGGGGCAGTTTGCAAGCACCGGGTGTATCACTTTATTTAAAATAGCGCCACTTTTTAAAGGTAAATATATTTTTACTGGTCACTAAAAAACAATTATTAACTGCTGAAAATCCTAAAACGGGTTTATAAAATTACCATATTAATTTAATTGTAATTGATTTGTTTTTATTTTTACAGGTGCAGGTTATGCAATAGTTGTAGTGAACATAATTGTAACAACCTACTTTAACACGATTTGCTCCTACCCTCTGATATTTTTAGCCAATTGTTTTCAAAGTAAACTGCCTTGGGTGGACTGTGATAACGATTGGAACACAGAAAATTGTGCAAAGGTACGAGTAGCCTTAGTACTATACACCGACTATACAGGGTGTCCAGAAATTAATGGGACACAGAACAAGGGTAGATTCCTTACATCAAAATAGTGCTATATACATAAACTTACTTTAGTCCATTTGTGGATAATAAAAAAGCTACAAGGTGTTAAAGTTAAAATTTTGAATTCAAAATATTTTAAATTTTTAGAATGTTTTCAAAGAATTACTTTGAAAATCTAAATTCGGGGGTTTTCTGGGTTCAGGAAAACGAATCCGGACTTAACTGCGCTAACGGTTAGAGGTCGCTACAAAATGTACTTTTGGTTGATGAAAATTGGTCATAACTTTTCTCTCAGTGTGTGTATGAAAGTTTTAATAGAAAAATATTATTTTTTAAATTTATTTTACACAAACTTGTTTTATGTCGATAAATTCAACCGTTTTCGATTTATTTACTGTTTTTCCATTGGATGCAATTTAATTTCCAAGATAAATGTTTTTAGGTATAGTTACTTAAAACAATTATTTTCAACATGAATTTAAAATAAACTTTCGTTACGCTGTTGTTAGAAATCATGTGTTGAGCCCTGTTGAATTGAATCTGAATTTCACCAGAGTCAAAAAAGTAAAAAAAAATCAAAAAATCTTATTTTTTACTTTTTTTTATTGTTTATTAATGATTTTTTGCATAAAATTTTTCTTTTAAATTTTTTAAATAAGCCATTTTGGTGGGAAATTCAATTCTCTACAAAATTTTTCCTATGGACTATACCGAAATTTTGCTTCGTTTTCTTGCTATATTTAAAAAATTGCAAAAGTGCATTTTCACCCCTATCTTCAATTTCGACTCTCTAATTTAATAGAACCCCGCGGTTTTTTCATTTTTAATGACCCTTCGAACAAGTCATGTGATGAAAATCCTTGAACGAACCCTTCCTTTTTTGCAAAAAATGAGAATTAAAACCTATAAGGATAAACGCGACGAAAATCGAAAAATTGGCAAAGTTTGAGCGGCCATACAGGTATATCAGTCAATTCTCATCCAAAAATACTGTACAACCTCTTTTTTTTTAAAGAAATTGTATCTACTTTTCTTTTATGAAGCAATGACTATACTTATCTTTACTCAAAAAAAGACTAGAAGCAAAAAGGTAAAAAAAAAATCAAAAAATTGTTTGCTTTTTTTCGAATTGTTTATTAACGATTTTTTGCATAAAATTTTCTTTTTAATTTTTTGAAATAAGCCATTTCGATGAGAAATTCAATTCTCTAAATAATTTTTCTTATAAATTTGCTTCGTTTTCGAGCTACAATTAAAAAACTGAAAGGTGTGCATTTTCACCCCTATCTCTAATTTCCACCCACTACTTTAATAGCACTTCGCAGTTTTTTCAACTAAATGACTCTTTGAACGATTCATGCAATAAAATTGCTTGAACATTATAGTTCCTTTTAACCCTGTTTTTTAGATATAATCAATAGCCTATAAGATAAGTTTAGCACTATTTTGATGTAAGGAATATACCTTTGTTCTGTGTCCCATTAATTTCGGGACATCCTGTATAAAGTTTGAACAAAATCAGGTCAAAAATATTTGTACATCAAATTTTTTATATTAAATTAAGTGAATTCTTTCAGAGTAGATAAGGACTTCATGCATTAAATTTTAATCTACTCAAAAAATTCTCTTAATATCGGTATTATGCAAGATATGTCTATAAAAAAAACGGTCGCTAAAATTTTATATCTACTGCTCATTTTAAAAATCGTTGTTTCTTAACTGTCATCTTTGTACATTTAAAAATATTTTTTGTTTGGGTGTTAGTTTGATATCGGTAAAATTGTACCAATTGAAAGTTATTCTGACTAATCCAATCATTTCCTCTGAATTCCAACAGTTCTCAATATGTTGTCAGTCAGTATCTATTTACTTTTTTCTTTTACTTTAACTTGTAAAATAATTTACAAGTTAAACTTACAGCTTTAACTTGTAAAATAATTTACAAGCTAAAGCTGTAATTTTTTTTATGATCGGAACTTCATCCACAGTAATTTTCAATTTTGACCGAAGCCAGTTTTAATGTAATTACTGCGCGATCTTTAGATGCTTGTAGAAGTTTTGTAAGCCTTTATTTTCACAAAGTTTTTATGGTAAACTCAAGTAACAGAAACAACTCTGATGATGTACCTATTAACTTTGATCTGGTTTAGTATAAGTCTCGTTTTACTCTCTGTATTTTAACCATCAAATTTTAGCTGGGAAACAATAAACTAAAGTCTGCCTTAAATGAAACGTTGGATTCAACCTTCAAAAGGACTAGGACCCCCGCAGACGAATTCTTCCAGTAAGTGCAACAAATCAAGTAATTCAATTTGCTCCTCTTGATTCATGTCTTTCCAGCTTCCGAATCCTTCAAATTTCAGATGGTATCGATGACATAGGCGACATAGTATGGCCCGTGTTCGCCAGCAATTTGATATCCTGGATCGTGACCTATTTGTGCATAGCTAAAGGAGTGAAAACCGTAGGAAAAGTCGTGTACTTCACTGCCACCTTTCCATTTTTCGTCCTTTTCGTCCTGCTAATAAGAGGTTTAACACTGCCGGGTGCATGGGATGGGGTTTATTTCTATATTTACCCCCAGTGGGATCAGCTTACCAATTTAAAGGTGAAAGAAGGTGGGTGTGATGAGGACGATTTAAATATAATGGTTTATTTGATGTTTACACAGGTGTGGGCCGACGCCGCTGTACAGATATTCTTTTCGTTAGGACCAGGATGGGGTGGTATACCCAACATGGCGAGCTACAATGATTTCAGGAACAATAATAAAAGGCAAGCCTGTAGTATATATTTTTTAATCCAACACTTGTATATAATTTCTTTGGTTTTAAAGGAATAATGTGGCCTATAAGTCACTAGTGAGTTATAAGTCATAAGTCACTAGTAAGCTATGACTTATAACCCACTAGTGACATAGAAATCATAAAAAGACAAATGTTTGGTTTATTTTTCTGGTTTTTATTAGAAAACCAATTTGGCAGAGTAATAAGTCAAGAAATAACCTAAAATGCTGCAAATCTACTTATTAATATTAACATTAACATTTATGGTAAAGCCGTAATTTGATGCCAAAAGATTATTGGAATCGTTTTGTGATTGTGGTAAATTTATAGAACAGGTTGCCCATTTACTTGTGCTTGCTTCAGGAGTTTGCACCCCTTGTATCTTTTTAGCAATATCAATTTTGCTGGAAATTAACTCTTCTATATAACCTTGTGCCACAGTAGATGATTTCAATTCACCATGGAGTTTGAGTGTTGTAATATCTCTTCCAGCATTGGCCAAAAGAGTTGCAGATGCGCTAAACAAGCCCTGTATATAAATTAGAATCTGTCAAACCCAAAAATCGCGCAACAACATTAGGGATTCTTGATAGCTTATTAATGCCAACAAATTGACGTGTGCATTTTCCCTTTTGAAAATTGCAAGAGAACCTTTTATGCTGCACATTTTGAGGCCTTAGCTTAGAATATTTTCTAATTAATTCAATTGGATTAACACAAAATTCTTCATTTAACACAGCGAAGCTTCTTTTGGTTTGTTCGTTTTAGTATTTGAAATCATGATGTGGATGTACTGCCCTTTGTCCTCTATATCGTCTATGCTTAGATGGGTCAATTCCTTGCAACCGCAAGCGCCAAAAACTCCTAATATCAACGCCACCTAAAACGACAAATTTAATAAATATAACTCAGTTAAACTATTCAGTAGAACTTACCTTATTCATATTATGATCTTCGTCTAAGGCTTCACGCAAAAATTGTTCGATTTGTTCTCGTTCTACGACCTTGAATCTTTTTGGTTGAAAATGTTTGTGCTTAGACTTTAGAAATGCCACTAGTTTTCCGAATTTAGAAATTACAATGTCCTTGTATACTCTCAAAGTTGACTTGAACATGGAATATTTAGTCCACAATGTGGATGGATCTAATTTCTCACTTAAATTTAAAGAATAAGCCAGCAAGACATCTTCATTTACGCCTTTCACCCCTTCTTTGATTTTCCAATCTTGAAATTCCTTCAGTTCTTTGTTGTAAATAGATTTTGATTTCTCCGGAATGTTGCCTGCAGTAGCCGCATTTCAACGTGACTTCAACTTAAAAAATATTGTTTGTTTACTGACAACCCTTGATTACAGACACAATTTAGGTTGACATTCGCATCCTTTGTAATATTTAAAAATACATTCATTTTGTTAAATTCCTTTTTCTGACTTGAAATTTTAAGTTACTTTTATTTATTATTAAAACGAAATTCTGTTAAAGTGTTGGATAAAATTTTATATGGCACTCGTGTGTTACGTCATGTAAGTCACTTGGGAAAAACATTTCCCAGCGTGACTTATACAGGGTGTCTCATAATTAGCTGCCAACCCTGAACAGGCCGATTCTATGATCAAAACTAAGTAAAAAAGTTCATATGAACATGGGTCCGGAAATGCTTCCTAAGGGCACAGGGACCCATTGAAGAGGGAGGAATGGAAATCATTTTTTTGCAATATCTCTCAATCGCGTTGTGATAAATGAATGAAATTTGGTATACACAGCTAAATTTTGATGAGCAATTTGATGGACTAATCCATTTATTTCCACAAGGTCCATTGGGGTGGGTACGGGGGGGCCCTTGGTACTTTGCGTGTGTAACTTTTTCATCTTTGACTTTTTAACAAATTGGACAGCAAATTCCGTTTTCCCGAACTGTTTTACGTTAAAAAGGTACTCTTGTTTCAAATCGTTATCTTTAACGGTTTCTGAGAAAATCGCTCTTGAATTAATCCCACTTTGGTCAATTTCATAGTAATTTAAACAAAAAAAATTTTTTTGTTTAAATTTAATCTAATTTTAATAAAAAAATAATAATAAAAAATTAAATTAAATAAAAATTAATCCTTTAAATGGAAAAGAGAGGAAAGGAAAATTATTATTATTATTTTTTGTTTAAATTACTATGAAATTGACCAAAGTGGGATTAATTCAAGAGCGATTTTCTCAGAAACCGTTAAAGATAACGATTTGAAACAAGAGTACCTTTTTAACGTAAAACAGTTCGGGAAAACGGAATTTGCTGTCCAATTTGTTAAAAAGTCAAAGATGAAAAAGTTACACACGCAAAGTACCAAGGGCCCCCCCGTACCCACCCCAATGGACCTTGTGGAAATAAATGGATTAATACATCAAATTGCTCATCAAAATTTAGCTGTGTATACCAAATTTCATTCATTTATCACAACGCGATTGAGAGATATTGCAAAAAAATGATTTCTATTCCTCCCTCTTCAATGGATCCCTGTGCCCTTAGGAAGCATTTCCGGGCCCATGTTCATATGAACTTTTTTACTTAGTTTTGATCATAGAATCGGCCTGTTCAGGGTTGGCAGCTAATTATGAGACACCCTGTATATTACCGTTAATTATGTTATTTAACGAAATGAATGTATGTTTTACAAAGGATGCGAGTGTCAACCTAAATTGTGTCTGTAACCAAGGGTTTCATAACTCACTAGTGGCTTATGAGTTCACTATTCATTCATGAATTCACTAGTGAGCTATAGGCAATTAAAACCAAAGAAATTATAGTACCATTATATACAAGTGTTGAATAAATAACTATTAATAATGAAATCCTTTACAATGAAATTTGTTTTTATGATATTTGTAGTCAAAAGATGTTGTTTGATCCGAAAGATGGATATTTGTACTATTCTCATGAAAATTTGAATTATTTAAATCAAAATAATAAAAAAAAATAATAGAGCTGTACTATTTGTCGCAATCTGTTAAAAACGTATCAATCTGAATTAATCTCTACCTTTAGGGATTCCATTATAGTCCCTTTGGTAAACAGTGGAACCAGCATCTTTGCGGGATTCGTCGTCTTCTCAGTAATAGGTTTCATGTCACATGAGACGGGCCTTCCAGTTTCGACGGTTGCCACGAGTGGTCCAGGTCTTGCCTTCGTTACTTACCCAGAGGCCATCAGTCTGCTACCTTGGCCTCATTTCTGGGCGGTGCTGTTTTTCCTGATGTTGTTCTTCCTAGGTCTAGACAGCATGGTAAGTTAATGTATCATCTTTCTGTTTCATCAATTCTCACCAGCTATTGAAGATATAATCTAAAGAAATGAAAACCATAGAAATACGTTTGTTTCAGTTTGTGAATTTTGAGTCAATTGTCAATAGTGTTATAGATGAGTATCCGAAATCGAGAAAGTACAAACCGTGGGTGACTCTGTTGTCTATGGTGGCTACGATGCTACTGTCTATCATCTATACGACGAACGTAAGTATTAAAGATAAATTTATATCTTTTGAGAAGGTAAGCGATAAAATGTCGCCGCATTATGTGAAAAAGGCGTAAGGATATTTATTTCTTTCTTCTTCAACGTTTGAAATGCCATTGTCGATAGATACCTTTCGAGTAGGGTAAAATTGAAATAATATATATAACTAAGAACTAACATTTTTTGGAACAGGGTGGTATGTACTGGATTCAGTTATTTGACTGGTATGCAGCCTCCATATCCTTAGTCCTGATATGTCTAGTGGAAGTTTTTATCGTTGGATGGACATATGGTGTCAACAATTTCAAGCAGGATGTGGAATTCATGACGGGGGAGAAGATATCCTGGTTCTGGATAATATCCTGGAAGATAACTACGCCTGCCATTTTGATAGTAAGTATATTTTAAAAAATTACGTTCATTCTATAACTATAAAGTGAAGATTATTTTTGTGAATTTTTTAGTTTATATTTTTCACAGTGATTGCGTACAATACAAGAATATCCTACAACGACATTGCTTATCCCGATTGGGCAATCGATTTGGGATGGTCTTCTTGCTTTATGTCGATGATGTGCATACCAATGTATATGGGGTACAGATTGCTATATTTTGAAGAAGGTGACTTATTTGATGTAAGTTCAGAATAATATTTTACTGTTAAAAAGAACATCTTTTAGTAGAGGAGACAGATATGATAAAAACTCTGGAAACTTCACTCGTCCTAATTTCAAAGTTCATTACTCATTTATCACTGACCCTAACAGGTATTTGAAATCATTAAATATTAATGGTTCAGTCGTAGGTTTCATGTATGTGGTTTCATTAATTTTTCATGAATAGTTGATAGCTTTTACATACGAGGGTAGTAGACTCATTTCAGTTTAAACTGCTGTAACAATGTAATTTTAAAAAGAATAAACTTATCATATTAAGCATTGTATCTTACAACAATTTAACAAATATTACTTCTTATAGAGAATAAAGTGTTCACTGAGGCCTCGAGAAGATTGGGGCCCAGCTAACAAAGAAGACAGAATCCAATGGGCTCAGCAAATTTTAAGAAAGGTCATTGTTTTAGGTAAGCCAACTAAAAATGACACAATGCATGCAATTATAGCTTTTATAAATTAATTATTCCTTATTTTCAGATGAACGTGAAGAAGAAATTGATCCTTTTCATCAACAATTTTTACAGTTATGTGCCATTGAAAGTTAAAATAAAACGTAAATATATAATTTCTTGTGAAATTTCTTTAGACTGTCCTGTATCTTAAATATCTAGAGAGAGAAATAATGAAATATGAATATAATGAATAATTTTTGCATAATTTATTAAATTTAAATTAAGATGTAACGAAGATATGTAACGGATGGTGTGACACTATGTTTTTGTTTTTATTTTCGTTAATAATGATCGTAATTTGACTTTAGCTGTCAAAGTAGTGTGAAATTTTTGTTAAGCAAAATTATCGTTTTGTGCTTCATCTTCGCAAGATAAACTTTCAAAATGGGGAAGTCTGAGAGGCAGAAGAGCATTGATCCGAAAATGGACGACTACGGTTGGTGGCAAAAGCAGAGCGTTCAATTCGCGTAAGTAGATACGTTTTTGGCACGGTTTTTTTGACTTATTCAATCGTCATTGAATACTAGAAGTCAGTAATCGCATTATTTCTGCATATATAGAGTATACTTATTTTGCAATAGTATTCTAGATGAAAACCATTTTCTCATGTAAGTGCATAGGGATATAAATAAATTATTGATTTATTGATTTAGTTGATTCATAAAATTTTCTGAAAAATATAACTTGTGCATCGAAGTTTTCAATGATTTAACAGCAATTCACTTCATTCAAAGTAAATTAGAAAAACAATCCAATATTCGTTTTTGCCGGATTGCGGTTGTATGTATGAGCAAATCACACACAATAGCGCTGAAATATTCAGCCGTCGATATAACAATGTATTTTTGGTATATTTATCATTCATCTAGAAAATTACCACTTAATATTTATTTTTTAATACCTATTCAACCCGAGCAAGTTCGTTAATATTTTATATAGTCTGTTTAGAAATGAAAGAGAGTAATAAAAGCTTATTATGTATGCAAATCGTAAATAAATGTAGTACTGGTGCTTATATTCAATATTTTTATATTATGTATTTTCGGTGTAGATGAGGTGTACTTTTAAAAAAACTTTGTGCGATCGGACTTTACTAAATTGTATAAATTGTAGCAGGTAGCTAAAATTTAATCTCCGACTATCCGTCTTTGTCTATGCCGCTTCAATTTCTCGGTCCATTTCTCATACAAGTAAACAATATAAAAACAGCATTTCAAAACATGAGGCTACTTTAAGCATCATAACTAGGTTAAGAGGGTTTTTAGTAATTCAAATAAAATTATTCAGTATTATTATCAAAATATTTATTTAAATTTAATGAATAGACTTTTGTTCCACACAAAAATATATGTATTTTGAACATTCAAATTATGGTGAGTAAATGTAGTGTTGTATAAATGTACAATAAAGAAAATAAAAAAGTAGGTATATTTAAATTCATCCTCTGAATATTCTGATGAATTATCTTCGTCTCCTAGATTGATAACGATAGGTTCAACAGTAACGTCAATTAAATTATCGAGTTTCCACATTTTCTCCTCTTCTTTTTGTACATGATGTATACATCTTTGCCAGTTATCTGCAGTTACTCGTTCCAAGGAATTTTTAAACAAAATTTTCACGTCACTTAATTTAAACGTCGTATTATTTCGCGCTACATCTCCTTTTACCTGCGCCCAGACTAATTCGATTGGGTTAAGTTCACAGTGATAAGGTGGTAACCGTAGTACCGTTATTTGGCGATTTGTTGCCATTTCATCGATAACATATTTTTTCTGATCTTTATTAAGATTGACAAGTGTCAAAAGTTCCTTTTTCACCATGTTTTTTTCCGGATAACCATTGAATTATATCGGCTTTCCTTCCCTCCAAGCAGTCGTAGGCGTCCGCTCAGTCTGCCGTGAATGGTAATTGGCATTATCCATGACAATTACAGACCCCGGAGGAATAAGATCCAACATCTGTGTAAAATACTCTTCGAAAACATCTGCGTTCATGTCTTCGTGATAGTCACCTGTATTTTTAGATTCAAATAAAAGTAAACCGCCATCTACAAAACCACTGGCACTACCTATATGTGTCACTATTAATCTTCGCCCTTTACCTGAAGGTGCCTTGAACCGTGTTGAAAGTCCGTCCAGAAATGCTTGTCGAAAACTTTTTACATTTTCATCTTGCCATACTTTTGTTACAGTATATCCCTCGTTGACCCAAGTTTCGTCTAGATAATAAATATTCCTCCCTTCGTCACGGAATTTTCTAATTGATCTTAAGTAGGATCTTCGCCAACAAATAATTTCATCTTTATCGATAAGAACTGACTTCCTGTTCTGTTTTTCCCAGCAAAAATTCAACTCTCGTAAGACGGCCCATAATTTGCTTCTACTGATTTTTGGCAAATCGTTGTCCTCTGAAAGTTCACTTAAAATTTTGTTTAGTGGTGGTATTCCTTTTTTAAAATAAAATGAGTGTACTTTTCTGCGAATGACATTTTTGAAGAAATCATCTATAACGACTTTTGACCTCCCTGTAGGTGATTTTGAGGGATTTACAGTATCTTGTTCATTTTTGTTTCCTTTAAAAGTCTGTAGATAGTCGATTTTCCAATCCCTGTCATTACCCGATAATTACCTGAAACGAAATATTAGCACGCCCATGGCCGGTTCTTATCTCGGGGTTTTATTACTCTCTTTTCCAAACAGACTATAGTAACTTTTTAAAGTGCAATTACGACATTACGACAAAATAGTGAACAGAAGGAGGATGTTCTATTAGCAATTCCGTTTTGATAACTTCCACACCTCCCGAATAAAATACTTAGTAAACCAAACAATAACAAAAATATTATCACTACGTGAAAAGGATTGCAGATATATGGTAGAACCACTAAAGAAGAAATTTACGTACATCAAGAAATACAGTGTCCCATTAATATTGCGAAAAATTTCAGGAGGAGTTTCCTTGACCAAAAATAAGAAAGAAAGTTCCTATAAACCTATGTCCGAAAATGCTTCGACACATTTGAAGTCAATTTTCTCGCACTCCCTGGAAAACACCTCAAGAAAAGGAAATAGTGGTACGCAAAAAACACTCCAACACGGCCAAATCCAGATACCAACTGAATTGCGTATTGGTGGTTGTTGGACACCCTAGTATCTCGTGTTAACCGCCGCGCCGTTGTCACATTGCTCGATATGAATTTTATCGAATTTTAAATTTATTACAACGCTAATTATTTTTTAGAATTAAGTTCAAAAAAGTGATAAACATTGTATTTTACGGAATTCTATGCACGCAGTTATATCAATATTGCTTAATTAATTGAACTTTTGTACATCAAGTTGGAGATTTTGATTATTTTTTTCTCGGAAATGGTTGAGTTTAGGACCCATCTCATATAAGGTTTTTTTGTTTATTTTAATGTATTCTACCGTATATTAGAATTAAGGCAGTCAAAGTTCTAACACCTTGAATAATAAACTGGTAATAGATTGCATTCGATTTCAGTAAAAGGTTTTATGACTATCCTTTAAAGCGGAAATGTTTCCTATTGACTTACCATAATCCATCCCGTACAAGTAATTTGTAATGTTTACGGCACGCAGTCGTATATCGAACCGAAGGACACTCCTTTATGGGATAATTACAATTTAACTGCCGTTCTAGGCTGACATGATTGGAGTATTTTGAGAAATTACCCGTCAAAAGTCACTCTAGACTTGCATGCGAACCGGCAGTTTGCCGTGTAGCAGCCCTGTACCTGCCAAATGTGAATAATTCGATATCACATGTCACTTTTCCGCATGTGATATGGAGTTTTGTGCAAGATTTAGAAGCGTTTCATATTCATGAAGGTATTTTAGGTTCGACGGGGTTGATGGACAAAAAAGCGCAGTATGAGTTCTTCGAACGCGAAGTATTTTTAATTCTAGAAACGAAAAAATATGCAAATATTTAGAATTGTATATACTTGTATTTTTTAATAAGACAGAAATTTATAAAATAGCATGTATTAAAATATTGTGATATTGGGGGTGTGTTAAAAAAAGATGCAAGAATATCAAAAAATTAAGTGATTTGTTCTCTTGTTTTAGAGGCAGAGCATCAAACATGACTTCTTCAATCATTAAAATCTGATACACACAAATTTTCGTGAATCTTCTTTAGACTTTGTTTATTTTTAATATATAGGGTGATTCACAAATGGTGAACAAAAAATGAATTTTTTTTGGCGAATTTTAAGTTTTCATCTATGACGCTTCGTTAAAAAGATACAGGGTGTTAAACTTCAAAAAATATTTTTCATTTTTTCAAATAATTTAAAAACTAGTAATTGAAATAATTTGAAATTGGGCACATACATTTACATTGTCCAAAATCTGAGGGCTTTTCCTAAAATTTACATGCTCCAGTGGCCGAGGTACAGGGTACCGGTGGCATATTTTTCTGAATAAAATAGTAGGTACGCCACTGCTTTACGGTAACAACCATATTTTCGGATTCGTCTTTCAATTTTTTACAAATTACTACCCTCTTATATTTTTCGAAAAAAGCCTGATTTTCGAGTAAAACTTAAAAAACCAACTGAAAACACTTTTACTTAAATGACATGACAATCATTCGGTTATTTATTCGAATAAATAAATTAATAACATTAGTCACCATTTTAATGATTTCATTTGAGTAAATGCTCAAAAATGCCTCAATTTCCACGAACACAGGCGCAATCTTTTTAGTAACGAAAATGTAATTTGTTCGAAAATTGTTGCTTGAATTTGATGAAAAGTTGCTATCGCAGCCCACTTTATAATTTTAAAATTCGAATATCGAAGTGTGTTCTCAGTTCGTTTTTTTAAGTTTTACTCGAAAATCGAGCTTTTATCGAAAAACATAACAGAGTAATAATTTGTGGAAAATTGAAAGACGAATCCGAAAATATCATGGTTGTTGCCGTAAAGTACTATTTTACTTAGAAAAATATGCCAACCACCGATACCCTGTATCTCCGCCTCTGAAGCATGTAAATTTTAGGAAAAGCCCTCAAATTTTGGACAATGTTTACATAATACATGTGCCCAATTTCAAATTATTTCACTTAATA